ATCATTATGTACACCTAAAATGTACCAATAAACTTAATAAAAATTTTTTTAAAAGAAAATAATGGCTGCCACCACTGAGGGTGGGTAGGAAAAAAGGAAGTGATAGCTATTGGGCTTTGTTCTGCAGTGATGAGAATTTTCTGAAGTCAATTGTAGTGATAATTGCACAACTCTGTGAATACACTAAAATCATTAAATCATATACTTTAAATAGGTGAATTTATGATATGTGAATTACGTCTCAGTAAAGCTGTTACAAAAATATTAAAATCTAAAAACTAAAATATATTTAAAACTTTTTGGTCTACAGAAGACTGTTAATAGGATAAAAAGAAGATTTGGAGGAATTATATGTAAAACCCCTATCCAACCAAGGACTATTATCTTATAAAGAACTGTCAAAAGAGTGAAAATGTTCATTGCATCAGTGTTTATACAGTGGACCCTCAAACTATGACTTGCCTGACATATGAACAACTGGTTAATTAGGTTAATGGAAGATTCATCTGCCTCTTGTTATCTATAGTGTGTACCCAGGTAAACATCCAGATCTCAGCTGTATTGACTTAACAACCAACTTGAGTTACAACCAGCCCTTGGGAACCAATCAAATTCATTAGTCAAAGGTCCACTACAATAGCAAATAGTTAAAAACAACCCGGGGATCTGGCTCAGTGAGTGCTGCCGCCTGCCTCACAAGCACAAGGTCCCAAGTTCGATCCACAGTACCAAAAAAAACCTTAAGTGATATACCATGGTGGAATGATAAGTAAAATGTGGTACAGTCACAGGCTACATTAACTTTACAGCAATTAAAAGGTTTAAACTAGAGATATCAACATGGCTGAATCTCAGACATAATTTGCATGATAAAAGCAAGTTGTAAAGACACAGTATATTGTTTTTGTAAAACACTTAAGCATACAAAATAATGTATGTTATATAAGAAAAATACAGCAGGAGAATTGGAAAGTTACACATTAAATATATGGGAGCAGATGACTACAGTGAATGGAGAAGGCGGGGGTAAAAGTAGTAAGAAACAAAACTGGCTGTAACTGAAGAGTATGCATAGTGAAATCATATCAATCCATTAGCACAACTGGATCTAATGCAGTGAGTAAAACAAAAGACAAATAAATAACAAAACTGTGATGTAACTAGAGCAAACACTTGAGTAAGAGTTGAAAGAATAAGTTGAGTTATATTTTTCTGACATGGAAATATCTCTAAGATATATTGTTAAGTGAAAAAAAGCAAGTCAGGGGCCAGAGATTTAGCTCAGTGGTGCTGCCGCCTGCCTCAAAAGCACAAGGACCTGAGTTCGATCCCTGTTACCAAAAAAAAAAAAAAAAAGCAAGTCAAAGGATCATATGTGCTATAACATTTATGTAAAACAAAATTACAACAGAAAATTCTTCCTATATTATTCATAAAAAGTGCAGAATAAAAATAAAGACAAATAGAAACTCCTGGAAAAACAAAATGCAGTAAGAAAGGACATATAATTCTAATGATTACTTGTGCAATAAATATTTATATGGTTACCAACAACAGAAACAAAAGAAAGCAAAAAAAACTATTTTAAAAATTCAAGAAATAAGAAAAGACACACAAAAAATATTTTACTGAAGAGGATAAATGGATGGCAAATAATCACACAAAAAGATGTTCCACTTTGGTGTCCATTAGGCAAAGGTAAATTAAAACCACAATAAGACAGCACTTCATACTCATTAGAAAAAGCTAAAATTAAATATCAACAATACCAAGATTGGTTGCCAAGATTTTGAAAAATCTGGATTTCTCATATACTGTTGGTAGGAATGTAAAATGGTATAGGTTCTCGGGAAAATAGTTTTCCAGTTTCCAATAAAACCATACAACCCAGCAACCACACTCTTGGGTATCTATTCCAATGACATGAAAATTAACATCCACATAAAGAGCTACATCCAGATGCTTGTATTTTTATTTGTAATACCATAAAACTGAAAACAAACAAAATGTCCTGTGCTAGTTGAATGAGTAAACAGTTATACATCCACACCATAAAATACTAATGAGCAATAAGAAAAGAATAAACTACTGCTACATGGATGTATCTCAAAGATACTATCCAGAGTAGAAAAAAGTCAATCTCAAACAGTCAGATACCATGATTCCATTCATGTAATAATCTCAATATTTAAAAATTGTAGAGACAAAGAACACATTTGTGGTTTTCAGGGGTTCTGATGGTGAAAGGGAAAAAAGTGAATGTAACTACAAAGGGTAGCATGAAGGAGGTATTTGTGACAATGGGAGAGTTCTTTATCTTGATTGCAAATCTATATTTGTATAAACTGTGATTATATTAAATCTACACACATGATAAAATAGAATTATACACACATTGTTCAAACTTCAAATTTCTAGTTTTGATATTGTACTATACTTGTATAAAATATAATCATTGGGGAAAACTGGGTGAAAGGTACACAGGACCTCTTTGTATAATATTTGCAACTTCTTACAAATGTATTATTTCAAAATAAAGTTTTTTTGAAGGACATTAGGATAAAGACCACAGCTCTTAAAAACTAAAAATGTGGCAGAAATTAAAAGTAATAGAAAAATTAGAAATAAAGTTAAGTCTCCCAAGGAAAGCAAAAAGACAAAGGTAAGGAAAACTGGAGATAAAAGTGAAGAAAATTAGAGAACCAGCCATACAAGTGCAACATCAGAATAATGAATTTAAGAAAGAGGATGGAGAAAGTATGATGGAAAAATCAACAAAATAATTTAAGAAAATTTTACAGACTAGAAAAGCACAAGTTTCTAGTGCTACCAAATAAGTCATAATAGACTGTAGCAAGAAATACCTTTGTGAGAGGAGAGATAAGTCGCCAAGTATAAGAATGGCTTTTGACTTCTCCACAGCAACACTGGCTGCTAGAAAACCACAAAGCAATATTCTCAAGTTGATTTCCAACCAAGAATTCTATACTCAGGCAAACTCATATGCCATAGATAAATGTGAAAGTAGAATAACATTTTTAGATATCCTTAATATTTTAGACATAAATTAAAAAATACTTATGAACTTTCTCAAGAATTACTGGAAGTTGTACTCCATGACAGTAAGCTAGGCATCTAGGGCACAACATATAACACATAGGGTTTCCCTGATCCTCTCCCTACACACCTAAGACCATTCTTCCTCTACCTCCCATAGTCTTGACCTTATCAATGAGTAGTTATGGCAAATCCAATCTGGGAACCTAAGTCATCCATCATACTCTCATCTCTCAAAACTAATGACGGAGTTTTGGGCCAGGGATTTAGCTCAGTGGTTCCGCCGCCTGCCTCACAAGCGCAAGGTCCCAAGTTTGATCCCCAGTACCAAAAAAACCACAAAAAACACCAAAAATCTAATCATGGAGTCTTGATGATTTTACCCCCTTAATATTTCTTCTCAGTTCTGTCCTTAATTCAATGGCCTCAGATTAGATCTGTATCAAAATAACTACCTAACCAAATCTCCCCTATCTCCAGTCCTGGCCTCTACAATGTGGCTAGTCACCTGCCTAAAACACAAATCTGACCAAGTCATTCCCTTACTAAAACTCTTTAAAAGCTTCTTGAATTCTGACTAGCAGGTAAGATAAATACCTAGAAAAATGCTACTCTCTATACCTACCTCCTCCATCTCCATAAGACAAACCACAATTTTATATACTCTATTTATAGGGTACAATGTGATAAACACACTATGTGAAATGACTAAAGCAAGCTAATTAGCATATCCATCGCCTCACTTATGTGTTAAAACAGTTGAAATTTACTTTTCGCTATTTTAAAATATACCACGTTCTCACTGTAGTGATCCTGTTGGGCAATAGATCTCAAAAACATAATCCTAACGGAAATTTTGTACCCTTTGACGAACATCTCCCATCTTCTGGTGACCACCATTCTACTAATTCTGAGTTGGACTTTTTTGGTGGAATTCATTACTTATTGCTGATGGCACCCTCCTGGACAGGCTAGCCTTGCCCTTATAGCTTTCTGAACACAGTACCAGGCATTCACCAAGAGATAAGTAATTGTAACTCCTGTTGGGTATAAAGCACAAAGGAACCACCCAACCGTACTCCTTGCTCTTACAGACTCCTATTGGGAACTCTGAGAATTCACACACTCCTACTTTCGCTCACACTGTACTGTTCTACCTGGGATGTTTCTTCACCTGATTAATCCATGGCCTTGGCATGTCTGCGCCCCCGCCCCCTCCCGCTCCCTTCTCCACAGCCCTCCTCTCATTCCCTCAGTTGGGTCCTATCTTTCCTCATGTAACATTCTGCTCCCTAACCACACTGTATTCAAATCCTACTTGTGAATCTCCCTCACTAGACAGAACTTGAAGGGCCGAGGCCTCGTTTTATTCTCTGTATGTCTAGCACCTACAGCATGGTAGGAGTACAGTATCTGTTGACTTTAAATCGCCACAAATGCAGCAGGGTACTAAGGGTCAAAGAGATGCAGAAAGTAGCAGGTCCTATGGAAAGGCAGGGAAACTAATATTCTATTTTGCCCCTCTTCCAGTGGCTTGGTCTGCTTATTCCTGTAATTCTTGTACTCCCACCAACAGAAGTGAGGGCTCTTTCCTTCCTTTAGTGTTCCCAGCTTCCTTTGTATTTTTCACCAGTTTGCAACTGTCACTCCTAAACGCTAAGCCCTTTGAAGGTAGGAGCCGTGTCTTTAAGTACTTCGCTCCTTGCAGCAACAATACAATATTGGCGTCTCGCCTGTATTAGGCGAAAGCTCGCCAGTCACCAGGCAAAGCTGAACGTCCCCAGGACCGCCCCGCCCCTGGCCCAGCGATCCGACCCCTCCTCACTCCAGCCACTTCCCGCCTTCCAGGCGGCGGAAGTCGCTGGCTGTTTGTCCCTGCTCACGTGGCGTCTTTTCCGGTGCGCCCGCCCCCTCCGGCTCTCGGGTTCGGACCTGGCCCTCACCTCAGGTTTCCCAATGTGTCTCCGGACAGACATATTGCTCCAACCGACCACACTCGGGGTTCTAGTCTCACGGGTTGCCTCTAACTCTAGCTTTCTAACCCCCAACAACTTTCCTCAGCTACCTCACTATAACCTCTTCTTCGATTGGCCTGTCTTCACCCGGCCAGCCAATGGGGCCGTCGTTTACTCTCCGCACAGGGTCGCAGGAGAGCGAGACGCTGATCAATGGTTCCCAAGGGCAACGCGGGACGCCGGCTAGGGTGGCCTTTTGTGCAGTGGGCCGGCAATCCGCTCCATCCTTAGAGCTCGAAGAGCGGCGTGGGGGGAGGGGAAGGCTAGCGCCTGCGCAGACCCCAAGATGGGGGGAGGGGCTCAAGAGTGAGGCTGAAAAGGGAGTTTCAGCTGATACGGGAGCGCGGTACAGGTCGCCCCCCCAACACCCCGAACCCATTTCCCCTCTCTTAAGACCATTCTAATCAAACACCTGGGCCACTTCTTCCACAATAGGGGATATGAATTGGGCCAAGGTTGTTTAGCAAGAATGAAAGTACATAGTTAATTTTCAAGTTAAGTCATTATGCAAATTATGCAAAACATCATGTGTAAATACAGTAATTATTGTTGCTTTAAAAGCTTTTAGGCTAGCTAAAGAACAGCAGCCTTAATTGCAAAGCATACACCGCATTCAGTGGTTCATCATTCATTTAACAAGTATTTAATAAGCACCTTAGGAGAAAAGCTGCAGTAGGTTTTGTGGAGGATGGGAAGATGACTAAAACTCAATCCAGTTGTCATGGAAACTATTGTGACTCCTGCCACCAGCCACCACCTGTTCTCATTCCAGATCTGAAAATTAAGTCCTAGCACCTTTACAAAACAATTACACACACAGTTTGACTTGGCTCCTAAATGTCCCACCAAATCCATCAAAATTATTATTTCCTTTTACATGGAAGGAACAACACAGTAACCCTTTGTCCTTTGCTCTAAATTGTTTTTCCAAGAACTGAGAAAGGTTATCCTGAGGTGTTCATACCCACTAGCTCTTTGTGAATAATAGCATATATCTGAGTCGAAGTTTGCAGGTAACCCATTCAGCCACATGGTCTCACATGCCTCTCTCCTCTCAGACAGTTCAGCAACCCACTCTTATGGCCACACTTTGGGTCATATTGTCACTCAGAGTTCCTGACCTCCAGGATCTTGAACTACAGCCAAAGCTGCCTCTTGCACTTTCATTTATTCTTTCATACTTACCAAGTTTTACTTAACTTCCTTAGTGTTTTCCAATTCTTTAACTCTTCCCTCTAAAATTTCCAGTCTGTCACTTTTCTACTAGAATAAGAGTTTGGGGCTGCAAAAAAATTGGAAAGTGGGTGATGGGGAAGACATTTATCTGGAGCTTTTGCATAGCAAGCAGAAGCTTCTAAACACATTCCTACTTAGGATACATGCTTACCTACTGCAGCTTAGGGATAGGGTAACTATACTGATTCTGATGGAATAAACAGAAGGAGGAAGATAAAGAGGGACTAAACTCAACAGTGGTGGAAAAGACACAAAGATTTAAAGACGTGTAGGTAAATTTACAGTTCTATACATGTAAAGAGATAAGGGGAAGGACAGCAAGGAGTAGGAAGGTATTGAGGATGTGACTATAATTTTTCTAATTTGGAGAGCTGAGTAGATGGATGATAATGCATTAATCAAGTAAAAGCATGATGGTCAAGAAGCCAAAACTGAAAGTATAAGATCCATCAGCCCATTCAACTTTCATACTTCCATGTTTTGGCATACTTCTTTGTATGGTTGTTTCTCTTTTATTTCAGAAGATATGGGAATATCGGGAAGCTCCCCACCTCCATCCCAGGCTCCTAGGGCAGAGAAGCTCAGCCGGTCCCAGCACCTGGAAGGAAGCTCCCCTGCCGCCATCCCAGGCTCCTAGGGCAGAGAAGCTCAGCCGGTCCCAGCACCTGGAAGGAAGCTCCCCCCACTGCCATCCTAAGCTCCTAGGGCAGAGAAGGTGAGCCAT